TTCTCTCTCGGCACACTCTTTTTTATTATGAATTCTGTATGTTTTTAGCAACTAATATTATGATCTTATTTCCATGTACTTTTCTTCTACATATTTCCTGGTATTTATGAGGACTTTTACATAGTTACGTTTTTGCTGGTCTTTTAAACCAGTGAATGAAGGTGCGGTCCGGAACGTATACATTGGAACGCATACACTGGAACGCATATGGGTTCCACCGCCGAGAGAGTGCATTTCCTATTACGGTCGAAAACAAGGTCTGGTATACAGAAACCCAGAAGGAGAGAAGGGAATGTCGTGGAAGATCAGATTTAAATTTTTTATGATGAAAGCAACTTTGCCACTGGTTCTTGGAGGGGCACACTACCTTGTGACTATAGCCCCTGTGATAAATCTTGTTTTAAATCACTGTTTGTGCCTTTTTGGATTTTTATGGCAACAGTACGAACTTTCAAAGTGGCACTTCAAAGTCCCGGCCATCTTGTTCGCACGGACCAAAACCGCGAATAGACTTCAGGGGAACTTAGCCGCAAATGCCCTGGAACTATTTTCGGCATGAAAACCTCGTGGTTCCCGGTCGGTCCTCCAGCGACACTTAGTCGCGATTCTATGGAACTGTTTTGGGCATGGGACCATGCCTGCGCCTGGGCAAAACTATGACTTCCATAAAATTTCTGAACCCCTGATCTGATCTGGGTGATTTTTGGATATGTTGTTCACCCAGATCAGGGATATTATGGGGATATGTTGTGTTTTGGGGTACTTTTTTTTTTTTTTTTAAATATGTGTTTTTGATGCCTGGAGATAATTGGGTTAATACAGTATCTGATCCAATTATCTCACAGGCAGAGGAGAGGGATTGTATGTTTGTTGTGGGAGTGCCGTACATTTAATTAATGTTCTGATTGGTTTGTAAGCTTTGTGTCCCTGTCCCCAACAAGGTCCATGTGGGCGTACACCTTGCTTGGGGACTTGCATAAAATGCCAGTGTGGCACCATTAAAATTCAGTTCTTCTTCACCCTCAACTTGAGTCTTGTCTCTTGTGTGGAGGGGACAGCTATATCACTACAAGGGATTGCTATAGTCATTATAATCCCTTGGATTCTCTGAGCTGTTGTAAGAGCTATTCCTGCTTGTAGCGGATGGCACTGGGCTGTCCTGCAAATGTCCTTGAAATAATTGCATTCGTGTGATCTGCTAGTTTTCTATGTGTTTTAAAGCCTTGTATTCTTTTGATTGTTCGGTAGTTCCATTCCCTTAGTTTATTCGAATGAAACTACCGAACAACCAGACCTCCCTTGTGTAAAGTGTGTCCTCAATTACCCGTTGCAACATTGTTGCGAACGGGTAATTGACTAGGAAGTAGCCGTCCTTTGTTCTCGGGGGTGGCCGCCATTCGACAAACTAACACGTGGCGGTGGCCATTTTAAAACTCCCGAACAGCAGTGTTTTGCCGTTGAGTGTCTGGAACTAAAATCGGACACTCGAGTAGGCGAACACCGCTGAGACCTCCACAGCCCTGGTCCGTTCGGTTCCAAACTACCGAACGGCCCCTCGTTCGGTAGATAGAAAATACCGAACGAGGGGATTCAGGCGAACCCTCCCTAGCCTCTATAGCTAGAGGTTTTCGTATATTTTATTCCCTTATGCCAGGACCGACCGCAGGGCCCATTCACATGGAACCGGATTCGGCTATCTCTGTTCGTGCGGTCGGTCACTTTATTCCCTCCATACTTTTCCCGAACCCCTGGTCTGATCTGGGTGATTTTTGGATATGTTGGTCACCCAGATCAGGGCTACCAGGGGATGTATGATTTAAAGGGGTACCCCTACGTTTAGGGGTACATCCAGAAACGGGGGGAATTGGTGTGCTGGATAAGGGGATTATGATGCTGGCTGAGGGGAGGGGATGTGTGGGAGGTTACCAGGACAGGATTGGCTACTGTAATAATTACTGTAAATCCCTCCCTTGCATGGGAGCATGCTTTATAAGGAGACTGTGATTAAAGGCTTGTCAGTTCTGCTCCTGAAACTGTGTGTCGTCCAGTTATTGGGATTGCTGTGGGGATATTGCTGCTGTTTTACCTGCTGGAAACTTTGCCTATGGATTTATTATTTACTTGTTCCTGAGCCTCACTTGGATTATAAGCGGAGATAACCTGGGGAATATTGCATCTCCGCTACACTGCTTGACTGTCTGGACGAAGAGAGGTTCACCCACTGGAACCTGGAGCCTTGTCGTAGGTCCAGGGTGGGTAGGAGATGGCGAGGCCCCATCCAAGCTGTGGCAGTTGTGGGGTCTGCAGTGCTTATGGTGTCTGGAGGAGTGCTTGGATTCCTCGGTGAGCACTAGGAGCATCCGGCGGTGGAGGTACCCAACCGGGGTACAGGAAGCTCCGTTACAACCATTAAGGGGCTCATAACCCAGAGAGTGCCAGATCTCAACCCCTGGGTATACCTTCTGAACAGATCGACAGAAGGGTGGACTGGACATGAACAAAATTTAGTGCATAAGATTACACTAGCAGCGAGGAGAACTGTAGCACAGGCTTGGCTGAAACCAAGGGTCCCAACTGTTGTGACAGTCATAATTAAAATTAAAGACACTTGCCTCATGGATAACTTAACAGCAAGAGTCAGGGGTACAAAGAAGAAGTTCGAAAAGATTTGGGAGCCCTGGACGGCATGCACCCTTGCAACCTGAGAGCAATCCTCCCTTTCATCCCTCCTCTGCCCCCCATCCCCTCCCTTTGCTCTTCATCCCTCGACCCCTTCTTCTGTGCCTCCTCCTCCCCTCCTCGCAGCCCATTCAAGTGGGGGGTCTGTGTAGGGTGGAACGGGGGGACAGAACGGTCCGGATCACCTCTCTTCCTTTCTCTTTTCCTATTCCTCTTTCCTATTCTTTGCCTTCTTTCTCTCCTCTGACTTTTCTTTACTTTTCCCTCTCACACTTCTTGTCTCCATTCCTTCACACTTACCTTATTTGAAACATCACTTGTTTATCAACATCGAGAGGGTGAATAAGTCGCTACAGTCCTAAAGTATCCAACTGGAATGTCGCATAACATGTGGCAAGATAATGAGAAAAGCTGCACTTGTGACAATATAGAAGCTAATATGTTTGGGACATTGTGGTCAGGTCGGACTCTCCCCTAGAGACGATAACTCACCAAAATCTAAGGCTTTCCAATAAAATCCTAAAAACATGACAACATATTGACGTGGTGACCTCACAAACGCATAATTAATGACCAGGGTGGACACTCTGCTACTTTATGTCTTTGTGATGATGTGCCTACCACGACTACTATATTTCTGTATTTGTTCTACTGTTGATTTGCTATTGAACCTATGTGGAATTCCATTTGAATATTATACACATCACATGGCACAAATACAATGACCACAAGATGGTAGATCTCATGAGATGAAATTAGACTGTTTTGGCGTGCATGTAATTCAATGTTAAACTGTATAATAATAATAATGAGAAATAAACAATGTAAGCGATTGTGTTGATGCTGCACATGTATTTTGTTTTAATGAAGGTACAGCGTGACAGATCCACATGACAATAAATTAGGAAAGCATTCCTTTAGACCAGTGGTTCCCTAACTTTTTAAGTTCAAGGCGCCCTTAATATTTCAGTATTTTTCCCAGGTACCCCAAGTCAAAATTTCTAGGTTGTATATCTGTACATCACTGCAGCATTTACTGGTGCTATAGTGTAATATACAGATGTACAGTGTTGGTGTTTGAAGAGGAGCTTGTAAACATTTATTGTGTTTTACTACAGGGGTGTGTTTTATTGTAATGTTTGCGTTAGATTGCAGGGGTGTGTCTGTATGTAATGTTCACTTTTAAATGTGGATGTACATTTGTTGAAGTTCTTGTGTTTGAGTGAAGGGGGGTGTTTGTATAAAACATTTTTGAGTTTGAATGCAGGGGTGTGTTTGTATGTAATATTTGTGTTAGATTGCAGGAGTGTGCTTGTATGTTGTGCTGGTGTTTGACTGATTGAAAGTATGCACATACACTACCACATACATACATACATACTTACACAGATATTCATGCACATTAACACACAGATGCATGTAAATACACCGACCCATACACAAATTTATATAGACACTGACACATACACACATGCACCCTGACACACACAAACATTGATACATGCCCACACCATGGCACAGATGCACACACTGACATAAAAACACACAGAGGCACATACACCAATGTGTGCACACACACAGACACAGAAGCACACTGACATATAGTCACACACAGACGCACACCCTGACTCACACACACTCACACACACTCATGCACAAACACACTCATACACATAGTCACACTCATACATACACTCACACACATACAAACACTCATACACACAGTCATACACATACACACTCATACACACACACACACTCACACACACTCATACACTCACGCGATTTTTTTTTTGATTTTTTTTTTATATCTCCAGCCACCCTCCTGTCACGTGCATGGGCTATAGGCCCAGCCGAGACAGTGGGGAGAGTGTGGAAGTGACAGGGTTAATAACCCCAGACCCCTGGTTACCTGTTGCTAGTCCCAGCAACCACTCAATTAACCCCTGCAATCCCTTCTACACTATCCCCCTTAGTACTACTGCCACCACCAAGACTTTTAAACCCGGGCATCTTAGGTTACCCCACACACAGGAGAATTATAGTATCACAGTTCTACTTTTACTGATAAAACATATATAGTTAACCCTTTTTGGTAACGTGTTTACCTGAGCTTTCCTCTGGAGAGTGAAGCTCATAGAGAACAGAGACACAAGCTGATTAAGTAAACATTTAATCTGACAAAAAGGATTCACAGTGCTGAGTACAAAATACAGAAATAAATGACATACAGAAAACAAATTGCAAAACAGTACATAAAATAAAATAGGAGAAAACACAAGAAATTCCTTACATATATTTACCCCATATAGATTTCTTGTGGGAGTCTTAGATGGTATAGGTCTCCTAGAAGTTACTGACAAAAGAAAAATGAATAACTGGCCCCCTGGATAGTCCAACACCCTCATATAGCTAAACTAGTTGTTTCTCAGTGGGCAGACCCCTGGGGGGGGGGATCAGAGGGGGCTGGTCTGGCAGTCTATTGCCCACTCTATGAAATTCCTTGTGTCCAGCTCTGGTGATGGCTATCTAGATGTTTTATGGTCTAGGCCTGGTGCAAGATCAAAGACCACAATAAATGTCATCCCAAGGTTTACAAAAAACAACTCTTAACATATATAAACACACATCAAACACCAACTCATGCTTTTGGCATGACACCTCCTGTTACCTTACTTGTGTGTCCAGGAGGGTGGCTTGGAGTCCTGGTCCTGCTGGGGGGAGTGAGGGGTCTGGAGCTCCCGCGCCGTCTCTCTGCATGACGCTGGAGGGAAGTGACAGGCTATCACTTCCTCCCAGCCGGCCGACATTATAATTTTTTTACATCAAGCATGTCAAACTCAAAGTCTAGCACGGGCCACATAAACAAGGCTTACGTTTATGTGGGCCACAAAAAACCCTTACATTTTCATAGAAATGTAGGTTTATTTTGACAAGTACAGTATATATATATAAAAAAAAAAAGCATCCCCCTCTACTAAACCACAGCACCCCCCTCTACTAAATCCCAGTCGCCCCCCTCTACTAAATCCCAGTCCCCCCATAAACTAAATCCCAGTCCTCCCCCTTTACTAAATCCCAGCACCCCCCCCCATCCAACAAGCAGACTCTACTCACATTGCCGCTGCCAGTATGCGACTTCGGAGTCCAGCCTCTGGTATACCCCAAATGGTGCTGCCCGCACCCTGTGCCAAATCTGATCCTGCCGCAACTTCTTGAAACCCTGTGAAGGTGGAGCACGTCAATGTCACGTCGGAATGTGACGTGGCATTGCTTGCCTCCATGCACCTCCAGGTACTCCACTATCCAGTCGCAGCCAATGCAACACTGACCAACACACACACACTCACAGACAGAAACACTCACTGACAGACACACAGATAGTCACTGACACACACACTCACTGA